CCCAGCTTCCCCTGGGGAGCCAGGGCTGAGCTTTGCCAGAGTCAAATGCCCACACCACTTGCCTAGGCGTGGCCTCTCACCTCTGCCTCTACCAACATGCCCAGAGTCCAGGCAGTCTCAAGGCTTTAGCAAAGGCCAGGAACCACATGGGGGCTGGATTAACAAGTTCAAGAGCCACCCACCACCCAAATAGCCCTGTTCCCACTGCCTGGTGGGATCTACCTGGAACAGACCTGGAGGTGTGATGAGAGCATGTCCTGCCTCCTCACAGAGCCTTGCATGCTGAAGCCTCAGGAGTTTCCTGAGTGTTGTGCCAATGGCGTCAGAGCAAACATCAGATTGTGAGTGAGGAGACTTAAGTTCTAACCTTACCACTCACATCAATGAGCTGTGTGACTTAAGGCAAGTCACTGACCCTCTCTGGGCCTCAATTACTCCCTCTATGAAATGAGAAGCCTGGAGCCAATGATCTTTAGGACCTCTCCGAGCAAAGGCCTGTAATTGTAGCAGAATGCCAGCCACTGAGTATTTGCCAGGAAATGTTTATGTAGTAATTTAACTATAAGATTCAAAACAAGATTCTGCAGGTCCCTGTAACCATCTATTTTTTCCCTCTGCATTCTGTCTCTGTTGTTAGCTGACTCATGTCAAGTGCCAGCTCTGGGCTGACATGTAATAGGTGTTAAGCCATTGTGTGTGGAGTCTATATATTCAGTACCTTTAAGTAGTGCAGAGACTGAAGAAAGAACAGGACCGACGCTGAGTTAGAGCTGATCATTGCATCTCCTGTGGCTACACAGTCGTCCTCCCTGCCAGCTGCCTTCCCCTCTGGGCATATTGAAAGTCAAGGCATTGGGCTCAGAGCCTCCAGCAAGCCCTTTGCTGTCCCTCAACAACAGAGGCCTGCTTTTGTTCACATAGTTCTCTTTGCCTAGAACACCCAGCAGGGCCTGCCTGGGCTTTACTGACTTGCAAGTTACTAAGCTAGTCTGCTGTTGTTTATAGATGCTGGCAGGAGTCATGGGATTCCTGAGTCAGAGACAAAGGATTTACTACTCTTGGCACAGCGGGCAGCACCAGGATCTTTGTTACTTCTCTTTCCGTTGTTCCCAAGTTTCATGGGGGCAACAGGGAGGGGCCAGGTGGATGTGACAATTGAGGGGGGTGTGCATCACAGCTGAGGAACACTGAGCCTGGGGAACCCTCCTCCAGCGCCTCCTCCCACCACCACTTTGAGAGGAAGCAATAAGCAAATCTGTTCTCTGTCTGGCAGAAGACATTCCCTGATCCCTCAAAGTGGTCAGTGGGAAACAACACTGAGAATTGGCCAGGGAAGGCGCAGTCGTGGCCTTGCATTCTTGGCATAACATCCAGGCATGTGCAGGACCCGTGCGGACTATCTCTCCCAACAGGGCCTGTCCTCCATCCCTGCTTGCCAAAATCCTCTCCCTCCTCAAATGACATTTTGTTCTAGAAGCTTTCCCCAGCTCTTCCCTCTCACACACTTTCTCCTTTCCTTGTGTATAACATTCCTGGCCATCTCATCTACATCTCTGTTTTGGACCCATCACTTCCTTCCTGCCAGCAGAGCGCTTGCCTCCAGCAGGTGCTTTGACCAAATTTTGGAATTGGCAGGATCAAGGTCTTTGTGCATAGTTATGTTGTGCAGAGTCTGCTGGACCGCCCCTTGGAATGTCTTCAGGATTACAGAGGCTAAAAATATCTCCCCAAACCACTGCTTCCTTTTAAGGAGCAGGACTTGGCTTCCCAGGGTGAGGTTTGTGCCCACCAGGTGGCTCCATAGACTCAAATCTCCAAATGCCTTTTTTTAGAAGTGGGAAGTATTGTCTTGTTTGTCAGTATAGGCTCCTTACTCAGAGTATGTGTGGCATAATCCCATCATCTGCACCCCGATTCGGCCTCCAGTGTTCCTCCTAGTTCTAGCCTCATGCAAGACTGGCGCTCTGAGGGCACTGAAGATGTCCCTGTAGGGCTTGCCAAGGGATGCTGACAGAAAGCCTGAAAATGGGGTCAAAAGACCTATGTTTGAATCCCATACTAACACGAGTTATGTTTCTTTGGGCAAGTCACATAACCTTTCTGGGTCCCTGTAAGAAAAGCTGAGAATATGGGGAGGTATATAGAAAAAATGCTTTGAATGTGGACCTGGAGTCAGCCATACCTAGACTCTTGTTTAAACTGCCAGCCCACTGCTCTATGTACACAGTCAACTTCCTTTACTCTTTAAGCTCTTATTTCCCCATCAGCACAGCTGCTTCAAAATAATAGCAGTTATTTTATAGAGCTGATTTAAGGCATGGACAGAACATTGAATATAAAGTGCTCATCTGGGCTTCCCTTCTGGTGCAGGGCTTAAAGACAGCCCTATCAAGCTATTGCCAGCCATGAGTTTGATCTTGGCCAGCCAGGGAGCTGACCACATGGTGCAGCAGACCTCTTCTGCCCTGCCCCCTGCTTCCCTCAGCAGTGTATTTCAGTAGATCCCCCTGTTCTGCTCCCCACTCTTTCTGGTGAATTCTCTCACTCCCCACCCCCACACCTCTGGCTTACACCCCAGTTCTTATATGCATAAATAAAAAAATCTTTAAAAAATAAAGTGCTTATTGTAGTGCCTAGGATAGAGTAGGCATTCAGCTGATAATAATTGCACATATATTATGTATCCCTAGTCCCCTAAAAGTGCCCAACACCTAGTAGGTGCTCAATATCTGTTTGCTGAGCAAAAGGATTTCACAGATGAGGCAGCTGAAGCACAGAGGTTGAGTGTATGTCCACGCGCACACAGGTGTGTGGACACACACACACGCCCCAGAGTCTGAGCAGCCTATCTCCACGGTCTGCATCCTAAGCTTTTTACACAGATATGGGTGTTGTACATCACTATTTGTTCATCTAAAATATGCATTCAGGGCCTTCCTGGTGGCACTATGAAGCAATCCACAGCCTCTGCAATACGAGTTCGATCCCCAGCTGGCCAGGGAGCAACCCACATGGCGCAGCAGACCTCTCCTGTCTCGCCTGCTGCTCCCCTCAGCAGTGTATTTCAGTGGATCTGCCTGTTCTGCTCCCCACTCTGTCTCTGGGGAATCCTCTCACCTCCTGCATCTCTGGCCTGTACCCCAGCTCTTGTATGCATAAATAAATCTTTAAAAATAAAACAATAAAAAATGCATCCAGAGCTTTCTCGGGTCCCTGTAGGCTGGGCTGAGTTCGCCCTCTGAGCAGCCACATAGTTTTTCTCCCCCAAGGGGAGCCAGGCTGCCGGGAGACATGGTCACCTCATGACCAGGAGATAAGGGACTCCATTCAGCTGGGAGGTCTGAGTGTGCAGTCCCGAGAGTAAGAGGAGTCCTCTCAGTCCCATTGCTCTCAGTCATCCGCTCCACTGACATTTGCTGAGACTCGTGTGTGCCAGGCACCAAGATGGTTGCAAGGTGACAGCCAATGGATATGGTGCTGCAGATTCAGCACTACTGCAGAGTGGAGCTCCAAGTGGGAAAGACCCACAAACTACAGCCTAGGAGGCTGGGCCAAAGGGAGGTACATTTAAGTTGGGCATTGAAAGATCAGTAGGAGCTTGGCAGTCGAGCGGGGTCTGGAAATGATGAGCTTACTGGGGAAACAAGTTGTTTGGTGGGGTTGGCATGTTGATTTGGAGCATGGACACAGAAAGGGAGTGGAAAACCAGGGAACTGGAAGTCTGTTGGGGCCAGGTTGTGAAATATGTCACATGGAAAAAGAGCTAGAACCCAATTCTGTTGTCAGTGGGGGAAGGTGTGTCATTAACAATCAGGTCTGTGTTTTAGGAAGAAGCCACTGTGCATAAAGTTTCGATCAGAAGGGGAGAGAAAAGGGGCCGTTAACACCACGAGGCTTCATTTTTCTCCCTAGCAAATTGAGGGAAATAAATGTCTATGTTCTGGGATTGTTTTGAGGCTTAAATGAGAATGCATGTAAAGCAGGATAATAACAGCAAAGCATGTCAGGCTCCATGACAGGCCCCTTTGTCGCATAGTTGGCACATGGGCTTTCGCTGTGACTTAGTCCTGGCTTTGTCTTGCTTGTGCCGGGTAGCAGATTTTAAATCCAGGCGAGACTAGGTGGTCAGGAGGGCTGCCTAAGAGATGGGACTGATAGGCCTTTACTCCGTGGCTGTGGGAGGCGCAGCGGGGTTTTCTGGTGGGTAGTGGTCCTTTTCTCTCAGATAGAGAACTTGCATGGGTCAGAGAAAGTCCTGAGTCTGGCTTTGGACAGAGTAAGTTTGAGGTGAGCACTGGCAGCGCATTTGGATGTCCAGGTGAGGACAGACGCCAGTTCAAGATCAGCATTGCTTTTCATCAGTGCCAGGGAAGGGCCAGGAGGCCGGGGCAGGAGGTGGCATAGCAGCCGGGAGAAAGAAAGGGGCCCAGAGGCTGGAAAAGGGCTCCAGAGGACAGCTTCCCTCCCTGACGCTGGATAGGGGCCAGGAGGCAGAGCGGACAGGGGGCGCCCATATGTGACAAGCCTCGCCCAACTGGACAGAACGGAAGGGCGGCGGCAGACGGGGGGTGGGGGTGCGGGGGGTAGGGTGGGGTGGGGTGGGGGGTGCGGTGCCCTCCGCCCTGCCCAGGGGGGGAAGGAATCCGAGCCGTGAGTGTGGCGCCCGCGTGGTGAGCTAGACGGGAGGGGGGCGCCGGGGTGGCGAGCTAGACGGAAAGAGACAGGGCAGGAAGCCTGGAGGAGCGAGTGGGGGTGGAGACCGACGAGGGGAAGGCTCGGGGAGGGCAGGAGGGGTGGAGAGAGGGAGAGAGAGAGAGAGAGGAGGGCTGGAGGAGGAGGAGGGAAGGAAGGGTGGGGGCCCGGGAGAGGAAGAAGCCTAGAAGGGGAGCGAGCAGGCCTCCGCGGGCGCAGAAGGCACGTCGGCCGGGCCTCCCCCGCGAGCCAGGCGTCGCCATTCCGCTGCTCGGGACGCCGCCGGCGCCGCCACCCCGCCCGGGGCCATGCTCCCGCCGCCCCCGCGCCAGCCGCCGCCCCCGGCGCGCGCGGCCCGCGGAGCCGTGCGCCTGCAGCGGGCCTTCCTGCGCGGGCCGCTGGGCGTGCTGCGGCTGCTGCAGCTGCTGGCCGGCGCCGCCTTCTGGATCACCATCGCCACCAGCAGGTACCAGGGCCCCGTGCACTTCGCGCTCTTCGTGTCGGTGCTCTTCTGGCTGCTGACCCTGGGCCTCTACTTCCTCACGCTGCTGGGCAAACACGAGCTGGTGCCCGTGCTGGGCTCGCGCTGGCTCGTGGTCAACGTGGCACACGACCTGCTGGCGGCCGCGCTCTACGGCGCCGCGACGGCCATCATGATCGACCAGACGCAGCGCCACAGCTACTGCAACCTCAAGGACTACCAGATGTCCTGCGCCTACCGCGCCTTCCTGGCGTCCGCCGTGTGCGGCGGGCTCTGCCTCGGCCTCTACCTGCTCTCGGCGCTCTACGGCTGCTGCCGCCGCTGCCAGGGCGAGCAGGAGGTGGTGTGAGGCGCTCGCGCCGCGGGGCGGGGGGCCCTTGGCAGACCCGCGCCCCCGCCCTGCCCGCCGCCCCCGCCCCGCGCCCCGCGCGCCCTGGCGCCCGCCCCGCGCCCGGTGTCCCCTCCGCGCCCAGGAGCGCGACGCCGGGTGCCCGCCCGACGGCTGCGCCGCCGCCCGGAATCTGGGCCGTTGCCTGCAACGCGACGTCTCCAGGGACCTGGGCAGGGCTGCATCCGCCCGGCGGACACGCACTCTCCGCTGGCCGCCCAGAGGGAGGCCCTCCCGGAGCCCCGGCCCCCTCCTGGCTGAGCGCCAGGCGCGCCCTGGCGCAGCGCACGTCGGGGGAGGCTCCCGAATTGGAGCCCGTGGAACCGCAGCTTCTCCGCCCCGCGGCCGCATGAGCAGCCCCTTTCCCTGGCCCCTCTTCCAGCCTCGGGTGCTGTAAGGGGCAGGCTGGCCGGCAGCCGAGGGCGGAGCTGGGACAGGCCACCACTGGTCCCGGGATGAGGTCCGATTTAGCTTGGGATGGTGCGGGCATGCTTAGGCGATCCTTCCCAGCCCATCCCTCACTGCTTTGATGTCCCGGGGTAGGGCTTATAGCTAGAGGAGGGATGAATAGGATGGGCCCGCGGGCTGTACCGCACCTTTGGCGTCTTCCCTCGCCTCTGCCTGCCCCGCCTCTGCCCTCGAGGCTCACCTGGGCCAGGTCCAAACGCAGACTGGCCTTGCTTTTCCAGCCTTCCTCACAGATTTCTATTCCACCTTGCCTCCCAGTGCCTTTTTGCATTAGGAAATCCCACACCACCGTCACGGAATGTTAGGGTGAGGCCCCCGTCCCCCCGCTTTTTTATGTGTGTGTGTGTATATATATATATATATATATATAAACGGAGATCCAGGGTTTGCTCTAGGGAATAGCCAGAATAAGATCAGCACCCTCTCTACTCTCCAGCTTCCCACGCTGAGCTGTTTACATTCAACCAGTGGGTGTTCCCAGGAATCCTGGCAACTACCCACCAAAAGAGGGTTTCAAGACCAAATGGGTCTGTCAAAGGTGCTGTCTACCTTTCTTGGAGATTCAGGGTGCACATTAGCCCATCAAAGACTCTGAGACGTAAGCAGCGCTGGCTGTCTCTGGGCCTGGACCAGTTTTTCCCACCTGAGGTTCCCAGTGTGCAGCTGTCATTCCCAAGGGGCCGAACAGAACGCCTGTAGTCTGCGTGGGGAGTTGGGAGCACCTCCTTTTCCAGGGAATTTCTACAGCAAAGGAGGGAGCAGGTAGTTACCGCTGGCAAGTCAGTGAGAGACCTGGGAACTGGTGTATCTGAACACTCCTTTGCATTGCTTGGGAAATGAAGTTTCCTGGTCCTGAGGAAGTCATCTACAAGAGATCCTAGCATTGACTGAGCACCTGGTGGGAGTCATCAAAGAGAGAAGAAAACGCTGGAGCTGCGGTGAACAGCTGGTCCAGCCTCAATAAGGTAAGTCTTGGTTTTCTGGAGGGGCTGCCGACCTTTGAATAAAAAACATAGTGCTCCTTCCTTTTCTAAAAGTGAAGAGGTTTTTATTCAGAGAACAAGTTGGAAGGGTACAATAATAACCACAACTTTTTGGTTAAATCCTTCAAAAGTGTACTCTGAAAAAGTTCAACCCTCTCTGAGTTAGAAACTAGAATAGGGAGGCCAGACTGTTTTTATGAACCTGTTTTTTTTTTTTTTTTAAAGATTTATTTATGCGTATGAGAACTGGGGCAAAAGCCAGAGGTGCAGGGGGTGAGAGGATTCACCATAGAGAGTAGGGAGCAGAACAGGCAGATCAGCTGAAATACACTGCTGAGGGGAGCAGGGGGAGAGACAGGAGAGGTCTGCGTTACCATGTGGGTTGCTGCCTGGCTGGCCGGGATTAAACTCATGCTGCAGTGGCTGGCAATAGCTTGATAGCTCTGTCTTTAACCACTGTGCTACCAGGGAGGCCCTTATGTACCTGCTTTTAAAGCTTAGTGGAGAGGCTAGGTTTCTCTATTATCTGTGAAGCTCTGTGCAGTGTTAAATTTTGCTTTGTCACCATTTTGGTTTGTATCTAGCCCTACTAAGTGCTCAAAGCACTGTGCATATTCATTCTCTCAACGGCCCTGCTGAGGTGGGTTCTCTTATTCCCATGGGCTGTGAGGAGTCACAGAGAGGCTTAGTAACTTGCCAGGCATCTCCCTGGAAATGAGCAGGGGGTTGGGGCAGCAGCTAGGATTTGAACTCTGGCAGTCTGGCCTCTCTGTATAGTATGGGGTCAACACACATTTGATACTGTTAATGTGGCTCTTAGGGTATTTATTTTTAATTGTGATAAAATATACATCACATAAAATTGTCCATCATACAGGTCAGTGACATTCATATTTTTGTGTGACCAGCACCTTCCATCTTTGTAATGTTTAGCATCTTATCAAACAGAAACTCTGTGTCCATTAAAATTGAGGTTATTTTTGTGGTTGTTTTCTTTCCTTTGGGAAATAAATCCTAGAACAGCGAGCCCTTAAGTGTGTCAGCTAGCCTGGGGTTCTGTTGCATGCTAGGGACTGTTCCTTCAGCTTCTAAGACTGCTGCCAGCCCGTGCCTGGGGGTGGGCTTTGCGGAGCTGCTTGGGAGTGCTTTGGAAGCCAAGTGACTTTGGTTCTTCTGTTGCAGGTTTCCATATTGCTGAGGCCATGGAGAGTATCAGAGCTCGTCACACCAACTTCTCCCAGGGCCCACTTCCCCGGCTCTCCACACCGTTCTGACCTGGGCCAGCAGAAGTTTCAGAGATGGGAGAGGGATGAGGGAAGAGAGCAGCTTCCATTCTGTGCCATCCAGTGGAAGAGCCAAGATGGGGGAAGATTCATTTTGCCTCACCACAGAGAAATCCTGATTCTCCTTGGGCTATGACTTGGGCACAAAATTCCAGATAGCTGGAATCCAGTCATGTGCCAAGCAATGAGTTTTAGCTCCAGCTTTTGTTCTTTTTCTATAAGTGGCATCCTTAGCTCAGTCCCAGCCCCCTGAGGACCTCTTTTTAGCCCCCCAGTCCCTAGGACTCTGTGGTCCCAAGACCTCAGGAGAAAAATCTCCCAGGCCTTCGTGGTGCCTTACCATCCAGATGTGCCTGAAACATTCCAGAATTCACTGACCCTCTAGATGCCTTCCCGCTTGGCCTCCAGCTGCTTCTCCAGAAGTGAGGACCTATAAGACTGCCCCACACCCAACTCCTCCTCCCCTGAGAGGCCCTATGCTATGGGAAGGTCCTGGCCTGCAACTTCTGGAGAGTGGAGGCAGTCACCTCAGCCTCCTCTTTGGACACCAGGCATCCATCCAGCCTGAGTACACTGTGGGCTGCTTCCTACTGAAACATCTGGAACCACGTGGCCATTCGAGAGGATTTCTCCAGATCCCACAAAGGCCAACAGAGGATGTGAGTGAGAGTGAGAAGGGAGATAGGGAGAAGGGACCCGTGTGCCTTATTCAGTAGATTAGTTGTGATTACTGATATGCTTTCTGAATAAAGTTTGGTTTATCTGAGTGTGGTGTGTGTGTCTTCTCTGGCCGCCTACGGCGACCCTCCGTGCCAAGTCCCCCAGCCTCCCTCCACTTGCTCCTTATGCTACACTGCCCTCGTGTCAGCCTTCCTGGCTTTTCCTTTCCTTTGGGAGAAAGAGATAAATGAGTTTGCAGATTTCCAATACAGTTAGGGCAGGGGCGCCAGAGGGAAGAGGACTGCCTGTGTCTGGCCAAGGCTGGAGGGAATTCCAGAGCTCATCCCAGCCCTCAATGGGCCCTCTGTTTGGGAAGTTCCAGCAGGAGCGAAGTGGCCGTGGTCATGCAACCAGAGGGTTCTATTCTAGTCTAACCCCTTAGTTGTATAGAAGGGGGAAGGAATCCCAGGGTGGAGTGTCAGAGTGGGCCAGGGGCAGAATGGGGTCTTAGGAGCCCAGGCTCCGGTTCTTTCTGCAAACTGCTGTACCTGCTCTGGTGTTGCCTCCTGGACACACCTCTATCTCATTTCCCCATGTTTCAGCCACAGCCTTCTGATTAGGTGCCCTGGAAAGGCAGCGTTAACAGATTTTCTGGCTTCTCCTGTGACCTCAATAAGCCTGTAGCCAGAAAATGGGATTCTACAGCAGATCTCAGCTCACCTAGAGCAGCTCCAGGTGGGGATCTGATGCTGTGTGTGCCCACTTTCCCAAAGCACCCTCTCCGACAGGCACACGCATGTGAGCACACACCCCATGCCCTCATCTTTGAGGTTTGGTTTGGGATTTCCAGGGTGGTGAGGCCCCTTCTGACTTCTCGCCAACTATTCATGAATTTCATGCAAAATAAAAAGTGGCTCCCTTTTATTCAAAGGTTGGTAAGCCCCTGCTTTACTTAGCTTGGTGGAGCATTTTGCAATTCAAAATGTGCTTCTACTAGCATTATCTTATTTGATCTTCTCAACAGAATTAGAGGTTGGCATTGTTAACTCCATTCAATGGAGTAAATGGAACCTCAAGAGAGGGCCAGGACTTATCCCTGGTCTCATAGCTGGCTAGTGGCAGGACTGGAGGGGAAGATAGATGTTCTCTTATGACCCTCTACAGTCAGTTGCTAAGTCTTGGGGGTCCTCTTGCAGGCTTACTTTAGGTGGGGTTGGTGTTTCTTCCTGGAGACCAGGTGTTCAGCAATAGACTAATCTGACATTTCCTGTTTAATGCTGGGCGTACTTTGAAATAAGACACTACTTCTTAGGGACATAATGAGCCCATTGGCATCTGGGGAATCAGGGATTGCTCATTTACCTCTATTACTTTTCCTGCTTTTCTGCGAGTGGAGGTAGGGTGGTCGGTGTTGAGGTGGGGTGGTCAGTGTTGAGAAAGGAGATCTAATAAGCCAACATTTTCAGGAATAAGAGGAAAGAGCCAGAATATGAGAGAGAAAAGCCTGATTAGCATTATTTATCTATGGATTTATTGTTTATTACAGTAGTTGCTTGTAAAATAAAATAACAACATATGTC